TAATAACTACTCTATGTTCTTTTTTGTATACTTTGAAAATGAAAAAAGACATTTTAATAAAGAAATACATTTCACAAAATGTGAGGTAACACATTTATATCTGCCCACAAACACGTCTTGTGTATGAGAAGTAGGGGCGGGCAAGAATCCCGGTCCCGTTGTCCCATTCCGGTATATCCCGAAACCGTACCGGTGTTGTCCCGTTCCGTTTGGGTCTCATTGATTTTGTCCCGCACCGGTCCCGTACCGGTTTAAAACGGGACGGGACCGGGACATTGGAAGGTTATCCCGAACCGTCCCGTTGTCCCGTTTGTAATAACTATATAGATTTTGTAGCATGTGACTAGTGTGTAATGTCAACTCAAAAAATAAATGGTAACATTTTTTTAGTTCTTCAAGCCCAATTTTTAAATTAAAAATAATACCTAACATGAATATTTACTAACATAGATTTTTATCCCACTTTATATATCTACATATGAGTACCTCACAGCTAGAACACATGATTTTGAATAAACTAATTCATTTTTGCTTTATTTTAAATTTAAATTTCAAATTTTGCTAAACCTAACTAAAATCTAATACGTAGTAGCTTTTAGCTTGTGATGAGCATCAATTAACTTTTAAAATGTTAATATTTTGGTGCATGATACTTTAGAAATGCTAATATATATTAATTACAAATGATTATTTTTTGTTAGTTTGGGACGTCTCGAACCGTCCCGAACCGTTCCGTACCATCCCGGTCCCGATTTAAATGGGACAAGACTAGGACAAAGGCTTGTCCCGTCCCGTCCCGTCCCGTCCCGTTATTATTAATTGGGACGGGACCGGGATAACCCTAATCCCGAACCGTCCCGACCCATGCCCACCCCTAATGAGAAGACCAAAAAGTTTGTTTGTGTCCTAATACATAAATGTCTGTGAAAATACATGCATGCACATTTACATCAAACTAAGATTAAAATCTAAACCACTACAATTCATCCTGTCATTAGGTCCCTCTTGTCCAATGTCATGGTCAGCGGGAAATCCTAAACGCTTCCCATATGCCTTGTAGATATCACACACCGCTTCTTTGCTATCACCATACCGACATCCGGAGCTTTTATAGAATCAACGTTACTCTCATTTTGCTGAATTTCCCCATCTGATCAACATTCACGTATTTCAACGAATAAATAATGTGTCGATGTCAACATGCAATGAGGGAAGTAATTTACGCACACAGGCAGAGCCATATTTACGCACAGACAGAAGTATATATACATACAGACAAAAATATATTCACACACAGACATTTAAAACCCGAAGTATATTTATGTAGAGGCAGTGGTATATTTACGGACAGACATAAGTATATATACCCATAGACAAAAGTATGTTTATACACAGACATTTCAAATAGAAGTTTATTTACACATACATAAGTTATTTTATAACATTTTGAACACAGACAAGATTATATACACTTCACAAACACACAGACGATATTATACACTACACAAACACAGAGAATTGTCTATGAAGAACAAAGATATATTTAAGTTCAAAGCCAATAAAATCACCAACACAAAGTCATACCAAACTCAGGGACGTCGTCCATGGCCGTCGCCGCCGCATCTCCGTCAAGTTCTGCCGCTGCCGCCGGTTCTTGCTCAACCTCACCCGTTGCCGCCGCATCTCCTTCAAAAATCGTCAATGATATTTTTATTCACAAAGCCGCCAAAATCCATTTTTTTTTCAAAGCCATAGACCGTCGTTCTCCTAGAGCTCTGCTGCGGGAAGAAAAAAAAATGGCCGAGGCGGGAGTTACGATAATCAGAAGTTGTGGGAAGAGGCCAGGGGGGAGTTGTATCAGTCACGTGTGGGAAGGGGGTTAAGAAATGTGGTAATTTTTGGGCTTTTTATAGTGTGTATGTGTGTGTATGGAATTGTGTACCCCAAGCCCAATTGATAGCTGAAATCTTGGCCCAACGAATTGCCCCAAAGAATTGCCCTACATGGTTTTGGCAGGAACTTGTGCTCCAAGCTAGAAACTTTTGTTATTGTATTAGAGCCCGTTTGGTAGCACCAAAATCGGCTGTTTTGGCTGATTCTGCTGAAATTTATGATATTCTGGCTGGAGTGGCTGTTTTGGTTGATTCTGCTGATTTAAGAAAAAAATATTTTAAAAATATATTTTATTAATAAATTAAAGAAAAAATTATATGTAAAAATAGCTAAAATGGTCCTCTACAGTAACTTCAGCCAATACAGCCAGAAAAGTAACTCCAGCCTTACTTTTTCGGCTTATTACACAATTCAGCGCGCGAAAGTAAAAGTTACGTGTTTGGTGAAAAAGCTGGCTGATAAGCCTGATAAGCCGAAAAAAGAGTTCTCCAAACGGGCTCTTAATATAGATTTCTAGTATAGTAGTATATATACTTTTCAATTTATCTATTTGTACACATATTAGTACACACCTTATACACACTATAAATACTCCCAAAAAAATTACCCCTTCCACCTCTTTCACCTCTTCCCCCATTTCCCTTAGCTTTCTTCTCTTCTCTCTCTCCCCCTCCCTTTTTATACGCAGTCTTCCACTCCTCTCTCCCCCTCCCTTCTCCTACGATCTTTCTTTCTTCCTCTTTTTCTTTTTCTTTTCTTCATTTTCAATTCACCATCAATTTTCAACTTACAAAAATTATGACTCTCTTCCTTCACACATAATCCAACCATTTTAGTCTCAACACTTTGAATGTTGAGGTAATAATTAATTTCAGTTTTTTCTTTTTGCTTTTAGGATTTTACTTTTTTTCTTTTTCCGTACTTTTATGTATCTTGTTATGTTGAAACCAAAGATTTTAGTATGATCTTTAATGTGTGATTGTTTTGCTTCATTGTTATGGCTTGGTGATGTTAATTCTTGAAATTTGAGTCAATGTATTCCATTTCTTTTTTATGCACATGACATGTTTGTTTAAATGTTTCACTAAAATTTCTTTGCAATTATAATTGTAAAGTGTAATGTGTATTTATAGTTCACAATTTATTTGAGGTAAAATGCGATAATGTGGGAAAGGAGAAAGTTAGTTAGAACTTCTCACAATGTGATTTATATTGTCTGTGTGTAGTAAAATGTTATAATGTGGGAAAGGAGAAGGTTAGAACTTCTCACTATGTGTTTATTTACATTGTCTGTCAGAGTTAAAATATTGTTTGTGTGTTTCTTTATTTTGTTTGTATGTAAAAAATATTTGTCTGTGTGTTCGTACTGATGTCATTATGCATTTTATGTTCATTACAGGTCACCTGTCTCTGGAATTTCTCTTGTTGCAGAAACCATTGTTGCTTGCTTCATCTCGATTTGCGGAGTTGGATAAGAGGATAAATGCGACATTGGGCTATTACTTTTTGTAGTTAGTTATATTGTGAAATTAATGTTCATGTACTTTCCAAATCTTCAGTTGACCGGTCATTTTCTCAGCATTTTCTTATGCTTGTAAGTTGTAATTTTTGTACAAACTTTCTTATAGATATTTTCCACAGTAAGAGCTCCCAATCCTTCGATGTTGTTAAAGACCTATTAAAAGCATTCAAATTTGTGCTTCTCAATCACCTGCTAAAAGCAATTAAATTCAATGACAAAAATTAATGAACACTTTTGATGAATGAGCACTACTGATGTATTTTCATAACACCAATAAAAAATTCATGCTTAAGCATCTCCAATACAATAATGTCTATTTAACTTCTTTATGTATTTATTTCTCTTAACATATATGAAATTGATATAGACTTATGGGCTGCCAATCTAATTATAAGTACGTGCAATTCCAGTTCGAAGTCATTCATAGATGTCAATTAAGTCATTCAAATATTTTAAAGCCCAATATGTAGAGAAGAAAGGTGAACATACCCTACAACACATAGAAAAAAGCAACCAAATCATTCATATATTTCAATTCCTATACATAGATTCAAACTAAAGGTAATACTAACTCATTCTGGACTTTACCTATTTTAAGAAAAAGTTATATCAACATCATATCATATAATGAACACACAAACATACACTTTCTACACACAAACAAAAATAAATGAACACACAGACAATATTTTCACTACGCACAGACAATATAAATCACATTGTGAGAAGTTCTAACTAACTTTCTCCTTTCACATATTATCCCATTTCACCTCAAATAATTTCTAAACTATAAATACACATTACACTTTACAACTACAATTGCTACTTCAAGAAATATTTATTAAAATTTCAGTGAAACATTTAAACAAACATGTCATGTGCATAAAAAAAGAAATGCAATAGATTGATAGAAATTTCAAGAATTAACACCACCAACCCATAACAATGAAGCAAAATAATCATACATTAAAGATCATACTAAAATCTTTGCTTTCAACATAACAAGATACATAAAAGTATGGAAAAGAAAAAAAAAGTAAAATCGTAAAAGCAAAAAGAAAAAACTGAAATTTATTATTACCTCAACATTCAAAGTTTTGAGACTAAAATGGTTGGATTATGTGTGAAGGAAGAGAGTCTCATAATTTTTGTAAGTTGATAATTGATGGTGAATTGAAAAAGAAGAAAAAAAAAAAGAGGAAGAAAGAAAGATCGTAGAAGAAGGGAGGGGGGAGAGGAGTGGAAGACTGCGTAGAAAAAGGGAGGGGTGAGAGAGGAGAAAAGAAATGTAAGGGAAGTGGGGGAAGAGGTAAAAGAGGTGGAAGGAGGTAACTTTTTTTTGGAGTATTTATAGTGTGTATAAGATGTGTACTAATGTGTGTACAACTAGACAATCTCTATACTTTTTGCAAAGAATATTTTTCTGTATATATAGTCCCAAGTTTTGAAACAAACCATTTTTAGACGAATTGCCGTCTGTACAAACAAAATGCGACGTGAGAAATGTTTAACTTTCCGATACCTTAGAAAGATATATAATACGGACTATCAACTAGAAAATATAAGAAAAATTGATAGTATTAATCTCAACTATTGAATCCACTCATAATAATCCCAACTATCGGTGATGGAAGTAAATCCACCGGAAAATAATTAATAAGAGATAGCCGAAAATAATTAAGGTGCTCAGGATAATCTTTAGAGAGATAAATGTATGTAGTATATTCAGTGTATTGAGCTTGATTAACTTTACAAAGATTACATGATTTTATAGTAGAAAATAAGACATAAAAGATTCGGGCGACATGGTCGCCATGTTCGAATTGATATGCAGATCAATAATCCGGATCTGTGGAATCCTTTGTTGATTGTGTGAATATCTTGAAAAGACGTCGTTGATGTAGTTTGTCGTACGGAGTCGCCATGTAGCTTTTGCCATGATGTCCAGAGACACCATGTATAGATTGTTTAGATAAGCTTCTACTACTATGTCCAGGGTCACTGTGGACATTTCTTTATATAAGCTCGCCATGGCATCCAAGGCTATAGTGCACTCTGGTCTTCTACTTGCGTCCATGGTTGCTATGGACGTGCTCTTTGGATAAGCTTACCATGACATCCATGGTTACTCCGTACTCCCTATTCTTCTACTAACTCCTGTCCACAGCCGCCATGTACAGTCTTTTATCTCCTAACCCGCCCATGGTCATCACGTACGAGCTCTTCTTATACCTTATCATCACCCGTACATAGTTACCGTGCACATCAACCTCTAACTCACTTTCATCCATGTTAATCCGATCAATATTTATTCATGGTTGGGATAATTATACCATCACAAGCCCCCCACTTCCTAAGCCGAATAGTATATCGGCTATAGGGAGTACAGAGACATGGTTGCTGTGTCAATATTGAATGTACATGGTCACCATGTCAATGTTTTTGTTTTTTACCTACTCAATTATTTTAACTAATTCAATTTTCCTTTCCCTTTACTGAAGTGTGCAGCTCATGACTCCAAATTTACTTACGTCCTGTTAGCTTCGTAGGTGGGTAGTGAGGACCAGTCACCATCTGAACTTCACTGTCCAGGCCGTAGCTTGTCGGCAACCAGGCCAGAGTCGCCCGCCGCCCGCCGGCGTTCCTTCACGTCACCCTCCAGTTCCCTTGGAGTTCCCATCTGCCGTCGCCCTTCACCAGCTTCTACCGGCCGCAGTGAACCAGAGAAATAACTCAACCACCAGCTGAGACCCAACGTGAAGCCGGCAATCGAACCTCTACGGCCGAATCAGCACCGTCTCCCGTTGCTCAGTCATTACTGCCATCGGTCCTCCCGCCGGGCACCCGCGCACCTCGGTGACCTCAGGGACTGTTTGTCTTCGCCGTCCTCCGCTTGCGCCGTCGCTGTCCTGCTTTGGGTGTCCGTTCCGATTCCGCCGCAGCCACCGCTTGCCAGGGTAGGCATAGACAGGTATGCTCCTTGCCTTCTCTTTCTTCTCTTTTATTTATTCTTATTTTATTTATCCTTTCCCCAAATAAGTAAAGGAACATCACTATGTATTAATTCTGTGTTTGACCATAGCTGCATGTTGATCTTGCCTTGACCGTGTCTTGCTTTGACCGTAGTTGCCTTGGCCACATTCTTGACACATTTTTTTTTTAATAATAATTTTTTTATGAATAGCTGATGACTGATATACGTAGTAATTTTTTTATAATTAACGGCTGATTTTTCTTTTGCCTTTTTTTTTGCATAATATTTTAGCTGTTAATACCTTATGGATATACTGGACTCCATAGACTCTGATGAATTGCTCAGTGGTGACGGGGAATTAGTGTTGGAGAATTTTCCTCATCCTTGGGCAGATGTTAATTCTGATGTTGAAGAAATTAGTCCCATAAAGCCACGAGCCGCTTCAGTCAAACCACCAAAACGTCGCTACCGTGGTCCGTATCCACCCTTAGACCCGAGCCCCATCTTACACTACAGGTCGCGCCTCTCAGTTTCCAAGTTCGAAAAGTATAAGAAATTTTTTCCGTCCACAGTGACTGTCCGATGTCCCGATTCGGAGGATATTGTAACCGATCCTCCTAAAGGTCACTTTTTTGGGGTGCATATTCTCTCCATAAAATTAGGATTCCGCTTTCCCACGCACCCTTTGATTATTGAATTTTTAAATGACCTTGAAATTTCACCTTGTCACCTGACTCCGCTCGGTCATCAGTATCTGGTAGCTTTCTTAGTCCGGTGTGAAACACTTGGGATTGAATCGTCCCTAGACCTCTTCAAGCATATGTTCCGAGCTGGGCAGTGCTCGGCATCTGATAGTCTGTCCTGGGTGTCTATCTCTCAGCGCAACCACTTTGACATGTGGAAGGTCACTCGTAGCAACGAAGCCAATTGGAAAGAAGAATTTGTCTATGTGTCGTCTGGATCTCCGTTACCTTTTTCATCGTCTTTGAATTGTCGATTTAAGAAGTATTCGTACCCGAAACTTCCAGTTGACCAGGAGACATGGCCGGCTATGATTCTTTCTGGAGGACCGTATAGCCTCTCTGCCTTTACTTCCGAAGACCGCCTAACCACGGTTGGACTCTATTCGCCGTCACCATGTTCGGGTGCACACGCATCCACGTCCACGGATCAAGGTTGTCCACAGTTACTCTGTCTATAGGAGATAATACACGCATATATATATATTAACTAACACATATGCATACCCTCTTTTTTTTTTTGCAGATATGACATCGCGGTTGGAGATGTTCCAAAGCTTCGACCAGGATGGGCCTCGCGGTAGTGACCAGGGGCGCTCTGACAAGAAACCAAGGGTTCCCTCCGTCACAAAAGGCAAGGATGCCATTGTAACTGTGCCTTCATCCATTGCAAAACGCAGGGCCGCTAGCCCCGCAGCCCGCGTCACCCGTAGCATGAGTGATATTCCCACGGCGGGGATGACTACTTGGTTACGAGGTAACCTTGAGTTACCTCCGCTCTTATCACAGGTGATCACGGCGACTGAGAAGGAGAAAATTTCAACACTTGACCATGCTGCTTTAGAGAAGAGGAGCCACCATGGCCTGGCCGAGGTAACCCTCCCATTTCCCCGTTACCTTTTATTTATGCATCCCGTGATACTAATTTTTTTTTTGTAGCTACTGTTGTCCATCTCCGAGGTGAGTCGAAGGAAAGATGAGCGCGAGAAAGATTTGTCGCTACAACTCACCGAATTAGCGAAGGAGGTGGCATCGCTCAAGCTCGTGCGTGACTCACATGCAGCCGAGGTCACTGCGCTTAAAGAAATGCACGCCGTGGAGTTGGCCAATGCAAGGGGGCGGGCCGTGGATGCATACAAGAATTCTCCAGAGTTCGTGTCTGATCAGGAAGCATACATTAATGCCCACTTGAACGATATTAACAAGCATTGGTTGTCTACTCCGGAAGGTCGTGAGAAACTGGCCTCAGAGAGCTACATCTCCTACCAGATCGGGATATATGCCACTCAACAGAAAATATATCCTATCTTGAGGGATAAGGCTGGTACCTCTTGCATCACTGATTGGGGACTTCCTCCTGAGGTTCCCAACCCTGAGATCCCGGTAGCCAACACGCCCCTGGACTACATTCCTTTTGACAGACTCCCCACTGATGAGGAGCTTGGCGATCTTCCTTCCGAGACAGATCACCCAGCTTCGACTGCTTCTGTGCCTTAGAGCATGCATGGGAGTGACGGATGGACGTAGTGTAGACTTTAATTCTGTCATGTCTTCAATTACGAGTACCCGAATTGCTAAACATGTTTTGAATTTCATAAAATAATAATGATGCATGTCTTATTTTCCTTTCGTTATTGTTTAGTATTATCGCATAATTAATTATTTGACCAACATTTAGGTTTTATGAGACCACGCTGTGACCATGCCTTGTTTGGCATGGTTTGTGTGATCATTTATAGTAGTGTACGGTGATACCACACCAAGTGTATAACTTTGGTGCATTTATCGCCCCGTATCTGCCTAATTTTCAATTGAGGCATTGTGCATTTAGATAGAGTGACTAAGGACAACGATAGGCACAAGGTGTCGTTGACACCTCCTCCTTCGCTACATTGCGCGCATCACTTATTCCCAAAAAATAGGACTAAGTGAGCGAACCTAACACCTGAGTGACTTAGGCTTGCTCTGGGGCACACAACGTTTTTTGGGAAACATGGCCGCTATCCGATATATTTCACAGATGCATCCTGACCATACAACCCTGAGGGTTACGCATTTGTTGGGATCGATTTGCGATGTATCCTCGTCCCCTTTCTAGGGGCGAGTCTATACCCCTTGCGTGTTGAGAATTTCAGCTATGTCATAGGAGACATGCCTGGCTACTTACTAGTTTTTTATTTCATTTTTTTTTTTGGTTTTTTTTTTTTTTTTGTTTTGGGTGAGTTTTACACCCACGGTGTCCTTGGATGACACCTTGTAATTTGTTTTTGTTTTGGGTGAGCTTGACACCCACAGTGTCTTTGAACGACACCATGTTTTTTTTTTTTTTTTTTTTTGCGGCCAGGGACTGCCATTATTCACTCTTGTGTGGATCAAGGAGATCTCTTATTTGAAAACAGTGGATGGAAAAGGACCGCGTTTACCACCATACGTGGTTACCATACATCATAATCATCAGGTTGGAGTATCAATGATAAATTTTCAATGGTAAAACTTGAGCAAGTGTTCTGCGTTCCAAGTCCTCTCAATTTCTTTTCCCTTCGGCGTCTGGAGTTTGAACGTCCCTGGACGGATCACTGATTTAATCACGTAAGGGCCTTCATAATTTTTGGCAAATTTCCCCCCTTCCAAGGGTTTGCTGACCTCCCTTTTTCTCAAGACATAGTCCCCAACTTCAAAGTTGCGTTTACGAACTCGAGAATCATGGTATCCCTTCACCTGCCTTCTATAGTTCTCCGCACGGCAGAAAGCCGCTTCTCTTCTTTCTTCAATAAAAAGAAGCTCGGTCGCCATGACCTCCTCGTTCGTCTCGGGGTCATATTCCTCTTCTCGGCGGCTATGGAGAATTACTTCCGCAGGTGCCCTCGCCTCGAAACCATATGTCAAGGAGAATGGTGTCTCCCCTGTGGCCTTTCTTGGTGTGGTCCTGTATGCCCAGAGTATCTGTGGTAGTTCTTCAGCCCACTCCCCTCCGGCAGCTTCCAGCTTTTTCTTCAAACCGTCCATGATCGTGCGGTTTGCATTCTCCACTTGGCCATTCGCTTGGGGATAGGCAACTGACGCATTGCTGTGTTTGATCCCCCAACTCTCACAGAATTCGTTAAACCCGGATGCTCCGAATTGCCTCCCATTATCGGTTATGATCTGTTGGGGTACTCCAAAGCGACAAAGGATGTGCTTCATGACAAATTTTCTGCATTGCCCTTCAGTGATGCTTGCTAGGGGTACTGCTTCTATCCATTTAGTAAAATAGTCTATGGCAACGATAACCCATCTCACGCTCCCTGTTCCCCTTGGTAAGGCACCAATGAGATCTATCCCCCACCTTGCGAAAGGTATAGCCGTGCTGATGGGGGTGTAGTTGGTGGCTGGACGTCCCGGAGATTTCTGGAACTCTTGACACACCACACACCTCTTGACAAATTCAGCGCAATCCTTAACTATGGTTGGCCAGAAGAAACCTTGTAGGATTACCTTTCGGGACATGGTGTGTGCTCCTTGGTGAGCTGAGCATATCCCTGCATGTATCTCTTCCATGGCAACCTTGGCTTCATCTGGTCGTAAGCACTTGAGAAGCGTGCCATTGTAAGACCTCTTGTACAGTTTCTCATTCAAAATGGTATAACTCGGCGCCCTCATCTTAGTCACCTTGGCTTCAACCTCCTCCGCGGGCAGCACTCCCTCGTTGATATACTTGATGAGGGAGTCAATCCAGTCCGCGTCCCTCGTGGTTATGGCCTGGACAGGGCATGCATATATGCTGGAAGTGTCCAACTCTTCTATCCTTGCAATCTTTGAAATCCTTTCCGGTGTCTCTGCACTTAATTTGGATAACATGTCTGCTTCGACATTTTGCGCTCTTGGTATCTGTTCAATTTCATAGGCGATGAACAATTTCAGAAGTTCTAGGGCAGCGTCACGATATAGCCGCATCCGTTCTTCCTTCGCCTCAAACTCAGTCGTGATCTGTCCAACCACTAGTTTTGAATCACACCGTATCTTGACCTTCTCTGCCCTCATGTTTGCTGCCAAGCGTAGACCACATAGTAGAGCCTCGTACTCTGCCTCATTATTCGACACCTTGAAGTTGAACCGGATAGCGTAATAGGCCCTGAAGCCTTCGGGCGTGGTGAGGACCACCCCTCCCCCGCAAGATTTGGCCGCGGAGGAGCCATCCGTGGACAGTATCCACCACTCTTGTTCATCGTCGCCATGCTTCATCTTCGTTGCTTCCTCCCGCGCCGTGCATTCTACTATGAAATCTGCAAGAGCTTGCCCCTTGATGGAAGGTCTTGGCTTCACCTCTATATGAAATTGACTTAGATACACTGCCCATTTGACCATCCTCGAGGAAGCCGTGGGACTCCTCATTAAGGCACCCAGGGGTTGGTGTGATAGTACATGGACAGGGTGAGCTTGGAAGTATTGCGTGAGCCGTTTGACCGTCCACACCACGGATAGAACAGTTTTTTCTATGGTTGTGTACCGTAGCTCAGCGTCCCTCAAAGTTTTGCTTACATAGTAAACGGGTCTTTGGACGCCACCATCTTCACGCACCAAGACAGAACTAATTGCACTTGGTGAAACCCCTAGGTATAGGTATAGTGTCTCCCCCGCTTCAGGTTTAGATAACACTGGAGGAGACAAGAGGTAGTTTTTCAATCCCTCGAATGACTTTTGACACTCCTCAGTCCATACGAAACCCTTTGATTTCTTCATGATGTGGAAGAATGGCGTGGCTTTCTCCGCTAGTTTTGATAAGAAGCGGTTCAAAGCCGCCAAGCGTCCCGTCAATCGCTGCACTTCTTTGACATTACGAGGAGGTTCCATTTCGAGTATGGCCTTGACTTTCTCCGGATTTGGCTCGATTCCTCTTCTGCTTACCAAGTAACCCAGGAACTTCCCTCCTTGCACGGCGAACGTGCACTTCTTTGGATTGAGACGAAGATTGAACTTCTCCATGATTTTGAACACCTCTGCCAAATCCACGGCATGCGTACCTGCTCTTTTACTCTTCACAATCATATCATCCACGTAGGCCTCCATGGTGCGGCCTAGGACAGGTCGAAAAAGTTTAGAGATCATGCGGGTGTACGTTGCCCCAGAGTTTTTCAGCCCAAACGCCATGACTAAGTAACAGAAAACACCCTCTGGAGTCATGAATGAGGTCTTCTCTGCATCCTCCTCATGCATGCGAATTTGGTGGTATCCACTGAAAGCATCCATGAAACTCATCAATTCACACCCCGCTGTCTCGTCCACCAATTGGTCGATGTTAGGCAATGGGAATGGATCCATCGGGCATGCCTTGTTTAGGTCAGTGTAATCCACACACATCCTCCACGTTGGGGGTTTAGGTGCCAATACCACATTTGCCAACCATTCTGGGTATTTTACCTCCTTGATGTGGCCGATTTTTAACAAGGTGCCCACTTCTTTCCTTACGAATTCCCGCCTGTCCGAGGACATGTAACGTTTCTTTTGTTTCACCGGGTTTGACATAGTGTTCACATCTAGGCGATGAGAGATGACATCTCTACTGATGCCCGGCATGTCCTCTGGTCCTCTTGCAAATATGCCTTGGTACATAGTCAGGACGGTTATGACCTCAGCGCGGAGCTCAGCAGACAATCCGGTGCCTATCTTAACCTTGCGCTCTGGGGTTGCAGGGTCAAGGGTGACCTCTTCTGTCCCTTCTGCTGGTTCAGCATGGGGTCTTCGCTCTTCATCTTGTAGGTATTGTGTGGCCACAGTGTTTACCTGGAGGCCATGCCGCCCCACCTTCTTTGTGATTTTTATGTAGCATGTTCGGGCGAGCTTCTGGCTCCCGCGTGCTATCCCCACTCCGGTTGGTGTTGGGAACTTAATACAAAGATGTGCCGGGGACACAATGCACTGCAAATCTTCCAGGCCTGGCCGTCCGAGTATGAGATTATGTGCACATGTCAGTCGGACAACTACGAACTCCATGTTGAGTTTCACTTTATGGGACGTGTCCCCCACCTCCACCGGGACCGTGACAACTCCCTCTGCCTCGATAGAGTCACCCGTGAACCCAGATAACGGGGTTTTTATCGGATGGAGTTTTCCTTTGGACAACTTCAGTTTCTCGAAAGTGTCGAGGTACATTATGTTAACGGAACTTCCAGTATCGACCAGGGTACGGTGTATGACAAGATCATTGATCTCCATTTTGATAACCATGGCATCCCGATGTGGGCTTGGACATGGTGGTAGGTCATCATCAGTAAAGCATATAGGTTCACGTCGTACCTTCTTTTTCATTGGAGAGTGCATGATCTCACCAATGTACAGTTGACGAGCCCATTTCTTTCGAAGGGACGAAGAGTCCCCGCCTGCATTACCTCCATAAATGAAATTGATGTCATGGTTCCTCTTGTCTCGCTTCGGCCCTGGCTCATCCGAGGCATCCTCGTCACTCTCATTTCCAATGTGTCTTTTCTCTACCCTTCGGGTCTCCGGCTGCGTGCATGCCACTTGTTCTGATGATTTCCGCCATACATGGTTGGGCTGCTGTGCAGCCCCTTTGACGAGGTTACTCAGATGGCCCCTTTGGATCAGTCTTTCAATCTCGCGTTTCAAGGTAAAGCACTCCTCCGTGTCGTGATTATCAACCCGGTGATAGCGG